AGCGTTTACGTAAAGATCGATTACGATCGCTGTTATTATATCTTGTCTCAAACGGAACAGCCTCTCGTCAGTCTTCTTCATTTTGTTTCATATTTTAAGTTTATACTTAATTCGTTGGTTTTATGGACAATAAGATCCGCTTGCTGAGCTAGCTAGTTTATCTAGGCCCATTTGACCGCATTTTTCCAAAACCCTACGATCTTCAGACTACCGTCTCGATAGGAAAGCTTCGTAACTTTGCCACTTTTCACGCTCCCTATTACCCCTCTTTCCCATCCCAAAATGGGGATCGGACAGAGGAACAACTTGCAGTTACTGAGTTGCCTTTAGTCCAGTCTTTGTTCCAGCAATGTTCTTATTTCTTTCGGCTTTTCTGATCAGAAATGAAAGAGAAGATTAAAAAAGCGACACGAGAACGCTTTGCTTCTTTTTGGCTTCTGGGATAATTTTTTGTTTGGTGCTGCTATTGTTAAACGCAGAGGCGAAGAAGTCACTTTTGGGTTTTTTTTGGATCTTGCTAATCGTCTGTTATGCGTGCCACGTCGCGACATCTCAGATCAGACCTGCTGCGGACCGACTTTGCTGCGATCCGTTAGTCCGGCGTCACTTCTTAAGTCCCTTTTAAATAGGCAACCAATTGTCACAATTGTTCGCCTATAGTCACTATAGCTAAGTGTGAGCGGGTGGCACATTGATAACATAAAAGTCTAGATGGGAAGAGTGCGATAAGTAAAAAAACAACTTTCGACTGTAAAAATTATATTCACTTTTGTTGGAGCTTGTTTCTGCTCCCTCGTTGCAGTGTTAATTTAGGTGCTACAGTCTTTGATGCATTTGTGGTAAATATAGGTATTTCTGCGTAACTAGGTCACCCACGTATATACGTACTGTGGCAGGTGTGTAACATAGAAAATCGAAGGTAGGCTAGAAGTAGGCTTAGAGTCGGGTTTAAGTAGGTAGGCTGTGTACCATGCTTTGATCTCTTCCCTTATGTTAAGAGCTACATTAACAATAAATATGGTTTTAAACAAACTCATATCATTGTTTTCGTTAATATATACGAGTAGGTACACGTTTACCCATACACAGCTTGTGTGCACGACCAGAAATTTATCCACAAAAAGGTCCTGTCTGCGTGATTTGGGTTCTACAAAAACTTTTTTTTAAACTGCTCATGGCCGCATACACAACAACAGGGCTCGCTTGATTCTCGCGGCTGTCTCTTGAGCAGGCCCTTGTTTTTTTCCTCACCATTTACAGAAGCCGTTTCCTCCACTTTCTGCCACCACTTGCACGAATCGGCCTACTTCGGGACCGTGTCATAGTTTTGTACGCATCCTAGAAGAGACGAATGCTCTGTTCCACCTTTCACTCTGCCCAAATTGAGTGGAGTTTGCTATGAATGGCTGATCGGCAGTCACCGATGACCCTCTACGTATGTTTTCGAAGTCTTCTTGGGTGTCAAAAAAGTACAAGCCCTTCGAAAGCTCCGTTCAACAACTTGACAAACGACATAGCTACTTACTTGATAAGATTACTCTTACGGCTATCACAGTTACTGCTGCTACTAGTACTAGTGTCAGTGGAGGTCGCTTTCGGCATATCGTGACAGCGACTGTCTCTTAGCTGAAACATCCACAATTGCAGGAGGACCAGGCAGTTGCTGCTGAAAACCACCGAAAGCAGGGGTAGCCACGATGGCAGCCGCGGCGCTACTTTCTTTGCTTAGTTTAGAGATAAAAAAAAAAGGTGCTGCTACTTTTCGTTATTCATTGCTTTCAGCGATGGCGTCATCGTTTCAGAGTGCAGAGTGGTTTCTTTACATGCTTTTTTTTACCGTCAGCCTCATCATCTCCACCCGCGCGTTTTCCCGTAGCGATTACAGATGCCGGCCTTCTAGCCAGGGTCCTACATAGTGCTGTCGCTTGGTTCTGAAACATTTTCGACACAGAGTGGCTCCCCTAGCTGGAGTGCTTTTCTTGATCTCGGGCCTTCTGTTTAGATATTTGGATGAAATTGTGCGAAGTTGTGGAGGCCGAATGAAATGGGAGTAGAACTGAGGCCAGAGGGACATGAAGGGCCCATTATTTCGTCATCATCACCCCTTTTCTCCACTGCTTTTTACTTTTCTCTGTCGGCATTGCCCTGCGTTTGCTCGTGTTTCTGCCTTTGACCGTTTTCGTTTTCTCTGGTTTCCTTCTTTTCCTACTTTTCGTTCTTTTGCGTTCCTCCGGGCCTCTTGTGGCTGTCCGCCTGTTTCCTGATCCATCGGTGTAAACGTCGGTCTGTGAGTATGCTTTGTCGAGCGCACTTCATCCCTTTCTCCTGTTGTTTTCCACTTCATTCTGCACGACCTTCATCCCAACTAGTTCTCTTTCTTTTCTCGTCCATCGGCAACGATGAACGTTTCCGTTCTATCCTGTTGTTTTTTGACACATGCATTGCGTCGGTTCAGTTGCTGGACGCTCGGCGAAAAAGGATCCTGACCTCTGACTCACCCTGTCAGTTCCCCCTTACCCCCGAGAGCCTCCGATAAACCTTGGTCAGTTTTCGTTATGGTGTCGCTAGTAGCCTGCCTTTTTTCCATCGTTTTCCCGCTCTTTTTCTTTTCCCCTTGAGTAAAAATCATGGTCTCATTGGTGTTGCTGGCTATGGCGGCAATCGCTCGGTAACGAGTAGACTTTTTTGACTGGCGCTAGCTCGATTTCTTGGGCTGTCTCTTCTATCCTGCTTCGTCGTTGTATACCTCTTTTCTCTCGAATTCTACAATCCCCAATTCGTTCCGGTACCCAGTTCCTGTCTTGTCCTGATCTTAGGTTCCGTCCTTTTTGATTGGTCCCTGCTGCTGCTGCTGCTGTGGGTTTTGAGCTTTCGGCTGTCTCTACGGTTGAGCTCTACCTTGGCGATGGTGAAACTGAGTGTTTCCATCAGCGGCAATGGGTACATCTTCGGCACTAGAGACAGCACCAGCATCGGTATAGATTATTTTTACTAGAATACTTTGTTCGAGACAGTGGAGCGTTCGTTGTTTTTCTTGAATTTTTCGCCTTTAGTAAAGCCTTAGAAAATTTTAGCGGAAATTGTCTATGCCTTACTGCGTGTATACTTATGGCCGATTGACTACATTGGTCTCTCCCAAACTCGGAGGTCGATTCACCTATCTCACAGCTTATCAATAGTTTACGAAAAGAAGTACCGTTGTGCCATACCATGACCATGACTGGATGCTAGGGTCCACGCGTCTCGACTAGCGTGAGCCATATCTGTGAAAAAAAGGAGAATATGAAAAATATATCTGATAGGTTTACTAAAGCAATGAATGTGTTCTGTGACTGCTTACCAGTTAGCTCTGTTATTAAGCTTTTACAGTAATCTATTCTTCGTTTGTATTGCCTAACGACGCCCACCGCTTTTGCCAAAATATTGTGGATGAAACCCAGCAGTCAGCTACTAGTGACAAACGTAGCCAATAGCAATGAACGGACAAACGGTGCTTAAACGAGCTTTTATGAATTACTCTCATAGTCTCACTCACTGCTATCTGGCTGGATAACGAATAGAATAAAGGCGTAGAACAAGTGCCTGTTCCTGTTGTATGAACCTGCCGTTACCCCCAGCTAAGCTGGGGCTGCATCTACTTTTCCTGAAGCTCTCACTGTCCATAGAGCTGGCGCTAGTTAAAGGAGAAAGCAGCGGGCGCTAAAAGCCGAACGTAGTTGGCAGCGAAAACGATACATACATGAGCAGCAATAGCGGTCGCTCTAACGTCAGCTTCAAGCTGGGCGCTAACGGCAGCGGCAATATTCAACTCAACGCTACGAACCAGGCAGGGGGCAGCTAGAAGGAGTATGAAATCCAGCTGAAACGAACGCCAGCCAAAAGGCCAACACCGACTATTAGCCAATGGAGAACCTTCTTTCAGCCGGAGAGCTCGCTGGCCAGCCAACCAAGCGGCCCAGGAAAGCCCTTTGCTTTTGTAACTGTATGAGCGTAAGGAGAACTATAGTTAAATACTAAAGGAGCCATGGCTATCGTATCATGGATTGCGACTTACACCAATCATTTCTGCGTTGATTGTGCGCCGCCACGTCTGGCCGCGGAGGCGCCCCAAGGGCGGAGCCTCGAGGGGTTGGCGGCACGAGCTCCGCCCCCTCGGCGCGCCTCGGGCCTAGCGGACAGCAGCGCTGCTGCATCCGCCGCTACCTTCGCTGTCGCAGGGTCGAGTTTTCGACGAGCAACGAGAGAACGATCGGGTGAGCGGCTGCAGACCAAACGCCTAGCGAGCTAGCCAGCGAGTCGAAAGCTGACTGAAGGAGCAAGATCTGTCGCTGTGTTGAGCTGAGCTATTCTGCTCCGCCGCCCGTTGCCTAGCTCTTACGCTGCCAGGCTCGGTGACTGCTTGGCCTGCTGCTGCTGCTGGCAACGCTGTAAGCTGAGCGTCGCTAGGAGAGCCTCTGTTTAGCCACCGCTGGCATCAACTACGAAGACTGCCATCTAGCACCAGCCTACTCTATCCAGGCATACCCTAGCCGGCAGTAACGAACTGCCACAGAAGGGCTCTGGTGTTGCTGCTTTTAGCGACGAGCGTCGTTGCCGTCGTCGTTTTCGTCGTCGTCCGTCCGTCCTCCTGCAGGAGGGTGCTGCTGCTACTGCTTTGTGTCTATGACGGCAGCAGCGGTCGCAGTAGTAACGGCCGCGAATCTCTCGCTCGTCCGTGTTCTCGTTTTCTCCCTCCCGCTGCCTCGCTGACTGCCGCTGCTGGTAGGAAGCAGGCGGACGACCAAGTGAGCGCCCTACCGGCTGCCGCAGCCGCGCAGCCGCTGTCGCGGCTGCTGGGACTTCGTGCGCACCGTTGGTGCGCTGGCTGACCGATACGGTTCGCGTCGTTCGTTGTTCGAGCCGCCGCCGCCGCCGCCGCGGCCGCTGCTGCTGCTGCTGCTGTTCAAGCGAGCGAGCGAGCGAGCGGCAGGCAAACAGCCAGCCCGTGCTGCTACTGCTGTTAGCTGATTGACTGTGCGCTGAACGAACGAACGAACAACGAGCCTGCCTGCCTGCCTGCTCCTGATCCCGCTCGCCGCTGGCTCTCGGCCCGACCAACCAACACTGGCTGCTCTGGCTAGCGGCTGGTTTTAGCGTGTCTGTGTTGTGGAAGGAAGGAAGAATCTGCTGTTACGGGAGTAGCAGCTGCAAGCAGCCTGCAGACGAAGCAGCATAGGAACCAACGAAACGAGCACAATCAGGTATCAAGCACTGAATTTTGTGTCCGAAGAATACGGAGACAACAGGCTGAAGGAGAAGTCGCTAGCGTCGCTGGTTTACTAGCGTTACGCTGCGCTGTGTCGTTTGCTTGACGCCATGAAAACGCGTTGTGGAAAAACAAGCGAATTGTATTTTGAGAGAATCAGGGAGCGGAAATCACCCCTGCGGCGACATTAAGGATAAGAAAAAAATCCTCAAATTGAGGCCGACAGAAGGTTAATAATCGCAGTGCTACTACCGTGTGTGCGTGCTATTAATCTAGAAATAAAAAAAAAATAATAATCATACAGAGGTGAATTGCAATTGAGTGCGAGTGGATTCATGAGTATCGCTCATTCCCAGCGATTTGAGATTTAAAGGCTTTTGAGTAGCGAGATGCTCTGTCACTCAGAGTGCCCCTGAATACATTATATCCTGCAGTCGCGTGCCGTTCAGGTGTGATTCTATTGCGCGGTTATAACTTCATTCGAACATGACATTATTATTGGACATCGGCGATACCATCATACTTCAGAAAACAAAGAGGTAGAAAGCCCTTCAATGGCAATGACTTTTGAGGCATTTTGACACTGACTACAGCTCTATCGCTGGTTACTCATTTGATCCATGTATTCGTGTGTTTCTCGTCGACCACATCGTTATCGGTTTTTAACGTGAAAATTAAGCATTCCGTGCTATTGGAGAAGTTGTTTGCTAAAGATTAGGAAGTTTCTGTGAAGTGTTTCCGTGGACGTGAATCTACTTGAGTGTAAATATCTGCTCGAGCACTGCTGAGTACACGGAAGGAAGCTACCTCAGGCCAACCTTAATTTCTGGCAAGTTTTTCATGGTGTTTACCGGCCGAAAAGACGTCAGCTAGAAAGCCTGATTAGCGGCTGTTCAAAGGCGAAGGCGATTGAATCTTCCGAGCCCGTCGTCGATTTTACCGTCGCCGATGGCTCGGAAGGATTGGGGCCCGCCTGAGAAGCTGGAGTAGGTGGTGACTTAATTCATTGTGCAATCGAACTAATCGTCGTGTGTCGGCAGTGCAAAACCGGGGCCCTCGGGCCAGCCCAGGGAGGATAGCGCTTGTTCCAAGCCCCTGGAAGCAGATCCCCCGCCGCCGTAATTCAACCCCCCACCCCCCACCCCCGGAAAAGCCGGAAATTGAGAAGTTCAACGACGACTTTGACGACGACGAAGACGCAGACTATCGTCTTCTAACTATAACAACGGTCACTTCCACAGCGGCGCTTGTCGCCGCTACTACGAAGACAGTTCGGTCTCTTACTACAACTATTGTAACTAACAAGACGTCATCTGTTACGTCTCTCTCACTGCAGCTAGAACAACAATATCTATAACTATAAATACCATTTTTGGTGACTACAAACACTCCTATTATAATTGCTATTACAACAAGCGTCGTTGCTATCGTATCGTCAGAGGAACCACAAATAAAACTTCGCCGTTGTGCAGGCGTCGCCGTTGCAGACGCCACTAACGCCAGCGGGCGCGCCTACCGGCCGCGAAGAGTGCATCCGTGACAACACTCACTGTGTCCAACCCTCAAGCGAGGCATGGCCGCCCAAAGGGTGAGTACCTTAGCTTAGTACCAAAACAGTACGTAAGCAGAACAAAAAAAAACAACGAAAAAATAGCCCCCTTTTTAATAGATCATGTGGAAAGTTTGCTACAGTTTTGTCTAGCGCGTTTACAGGTCTATGGATCTGATTCGGTGTATAACTGTATGTCAAAACGGGTGTGTAATGGCCAAAGTAATTAAATATGCGTGGCTTAAAAGCAAAAAAAAAAAAGATTTTTGAAGTGACTAGTGAACGTCTTTTCTTGGAACGAAATTTGGGAGCACGAGCACTCGCAAATGCGGATTTTAAGGAGGACAGGGCTTATTTAATACACACAGTAGTATACGGTAATTTATCTAGATCCTGTCCTGGGAGTTTATGCTTTAGAAAGCATTTACCATTGAAAGAGGTCTGCTGTAGTTGTTGTTTTCGCCCAGTATCCGCTAACCGGTCATTACATAAGTTCTTCCGATAAGATTTGCCCCACGACAAAATCACTGTTGTGCAATCCTCGCGGAATTCTACAAGCATCAAGACATTATTAATGTATTAAATCTTGTTTCGGAGGCTACCTAGCGCACGATTTTCAAAGATGATTCAGAAGCATTTGCATCACGGTACACTAATGAATGGGTTTGTGTATATATATATATATATATATATATATATATGTGTGTATTAAAAACGTCGTCCAAACCAGATCATTAGGCCTAGTCCTAATGCATAAAACTGCTAGCGGTATTGATAAATATACATGCAAATACATATTCACACACATTTAAATCTCCCCAAAGGGAATTGTTACACAAAAACTACATTGAAGACCAACAAAACCATTTTATCCCTATCGCCCTGTTTCGAGGATTAGAGTAGGAGAAAGCTAGGGAGCCAAAATTTGAGAAATGGTCACCTGACGACCGTTGGTGTCGCGTTTGAAGACATGTATTATTCAAGGATTTAGACCATGTCTTGCTCATCTGTAAGTCTCTAACAAAACCCGTTGTGGGATTATAGTCGGTTAGTGGTGGATGACGAAGGTCCAAAACATTAAAATGAGACGATCAAAAATGTGCAGTCACACTTTGTATTTAGCTGACCTGCAAAGACGAATATACACAAGCTATAGATTGTTTAGCTGAAGAGAAAATATATTCTGAATCGTCTAAACTATAAGAAAAATCAATGAGTACCAATTGGTTGTCGATTTATACAATCAGAGAAAGCACAGTATATGCGCACAATCTTTGAAGACGACGTCAATTCTGGTAGTGAAAAGAAAGCAGATGGGATTTTGAACGGCCGCAATGTGCCAACGAAAAAAAAACCAACACAAATTCTAAGACGAAGGAAACAGAATCCAAATAAGATATGAACCAGGACCGTTTTCAATGCGTTGTCTGTCCAGTCCTAACTTATCAGCTGTTTTTAGGCTTATAAAGTTTTGATTTGCAGAACCAGAAATTAAAAAAGCTACAACAATCTAAAGCCTGTTTTAAAACGTAAATGGGATCAATGTAGCTATAATTAAAATAAAAAAATGCGCGACAGAATCAACGGATACCTGACTATTTTTCTGGGATGGTCCGCTTACCGTATCACGATCTGAAATTAAGATAACGGCATAATGAGTGCTATATACTATATATATTTGTGTTACGCAACTCTGCTATGCCTGCGTTTCTTTGGTAGAAGGAAATGCCATTGAACTTATACAATTAATGACCCGCAGTAAAAACGCCGAGCAAATAAACCTCTGTTCATTTGTCATTACACTTGAACGATTTAATAGCTGACAAGAAAATATGCTGAATAAAAATAATCTCTGCTTGTTTATAATGGTACAAACATGAGTTCTGTGTGTATGTATATTGCAGAAACATAAACCACAAATGCTTTTTCGTCGTCAATAAATTGTAGGGTCAACCTCTCGACTAGAGAGAAATGGTGATAATTATTTCTTCGACAACAGTCAACATAGAGCTAGAACGATTGCTGGAAAGCAGGCTCTTTTTTTTTGAAAATTGTATTCACAATAAGGATCGCCTAAATTGCAGATCTCAGAGAAGCTGGCCCATTTTCAAGCTGAGAAGTTTATAAGCCTTTTGACGGCGTTGGTGTTATGATCAAAACATGACTCTGGTTTTTTCCTTTGGGGTTCGCTAAGCACTAATAGTAGGATTTAAATTTTGTTCCGAAGCTCGTAGCTGAATATGGGAACAAATGCCTAAAAGAGCAGAACAATGACTCAGTTTTTTGTAGGTCCTGCTCATGTTTTCGACAAGCTGATTGTTATATTTATTGACGAGAAATGAGTAATGGATGCGTGCAATGATTAAGCACACTCTAACCACTATATGCACACTGGCATCGAGCAAGGACCGGCTGCGCGTTCGTAACCCAGTAGAACGCTCAGTTTGTGAATTTCTCATGATGACCATCACAAACACGAATCAGAAACACTTTTGTGGTATATTGATCGATATCTGCATAATTTAACTGAATACTATTTTTGTATTTTTCAAATCAAGCAACTAACTAATACCATTTTTAACACTTCAGGGCATTATAGAATTGGAGCCTTCTTCTAAATGGTCCTAGTCAGATTTCAAACAGTTATTTAGGCAAACATATAGTTCACTAAAACTCTATAGGTATCATCTCACACGCCGCCTGTGACATGTACGGTACCTGCCACCCTCCAGCTCGTGCAGTTCTTATATTGCTTAACAAAACTTTTGTCACGCGCGAAAAAAGAGCTATCCATTCCACCAATCTATTGGACGCTTGAAGGCTGTTTTGGGAGCGTTGTCGTCACATTGGGTTTTCGTTGTTTCCGCCGTTCTAACTATTACCGATGATAGTCACGTTGTTGTTGTTTGTGTCGTCGGCGTTGATGCTCTAGCGTCAATACTGATCTTACACGTAATCTTGTAGCAAATGTGTAAAATCTGTTAAAGTTGTTGATGTTTGCGCTGATACCGGTACCGTCACTAAGTACAACAGAAGCACTTCGGCTATATTCGTATCTCAAGAGCGCCCAATAGAGTCATGTGAGAGCGCGCCGAATAGAAACACCGACCCGATGCATAGGCCAAGGACGCCATCAAATGTAAACTGAGATCGGTGTAGGCAATATGCCTGGGGGCACTTGAGTTTATCGAGAAGAGGTTGACGATTACGGTCAGCGGTTATCCGGCCAGCAGATACAGGCGCAGGCGGTAAAATCGGCGACGACTCTTTCAGGACAGACTGTTCCCAACCACTTTTGAGCATATATGTATATGTACGTTGCTGTATGTGATCCGCTCGTTTTTTATGCACTTCTTTCGTTTCTGTTTTTCCTTGTACTTATTCCTCCTCTTTGACCTGTTAGGCTTCGGCCGTTAGGTACATCTTCCATAATAGCATGACTTCGGCTGGTGTTTTGTCTGGGCAGCGGTTCACTAGGCGACTTGTTCGCCAGGATCCTAACAGAAGATCAACGAAGCTTTTGGCCTGAACCGCCTATTTAGTCATGGGCAGGAAAAGCAGCGTGAATATTTTCATAAAGTAGCAGTTGTTGGGTGATTTTTTTGCTGATATTGTGATTGCTGTCATCATTGTCGTCTTCCACAAACGCAGGCGCACGATCCGAGACGAACGTCGATGGAGATATTCACGCTACATGAAAACCTGATTGAATAAAGGAAGTGTCGCTAACTTCAGGTCACCGCATTAGAAGTGCGTTATGCATGAAGATATTTGGTTATTTTATACTATCACGGACATAGGTTTGTTTTACTAGCGAAACTTTGCGTTTTCGATCAGTATGGCGACAGTGAAGTGGAGCTTCGCATAAATCATTATATTGAAAATTCAGTGCGTGGCTGATAAGTGAGCCACCGAAACTTAGTAACGCGCTAGTTGTTTGTTAGCTCAAAAGCGATAAAATATTCTTCGTCTGATACCAACCAATTACAGAAACAAAAGCGGCAGGACCAGATCAACAAAGATGATAAAAACCAAGAAGAAAGCCAAAGAGATATGGGGAGGATGAGATGATTATTAATAACACTGAGGCCGCCAGCTGACTCGTAGCGACCTTGCACAATAGTGACAGTTACTGTTAAATACACCTGTCGTCAAAAACAAAAAACGTTTTAATTTTAAATCATTACATAATGAAGAGTAAAATTGCAGGTAGCATTGTTTATTATTGACATAATAACTTTATGACAGATGTGATAATGTTCCGTTTCGGGCATTCAGATATCTCATGTAAATGGTAATACCTCGCTTTTAGCTCTCACTACAAATGATTGAATTTTATACGTCTAAATAAAAACAAATTCATTAATGAAACCTGCATATACGGTGTTTTGGTGAGGTGACAGTCGGAGCTCTCAAACTGGTAAATACGGTCCTTTATAGGACGTCTATGAAATTAAACAACTACAAGTAGAATATAACTTTGAGAGGTTTGGGCATAATTTTATAAACGGATCTTCAAAGAGCGTTCATCTTCTCTGCGGTGGCGGGGCACGCGCTAACCGTAGAGATTGACACAGTGGACCCGAACTACCTCCTTGAGCATATGTCAGTGTTATACAAAAAAACATTAATCTGATGTAACAGCCGAAAGATCCGTGTGGCTGAAAATGTAAAAAACAATGCTTTTTTTGAAGTAGGCCAGCCCACCAGTTTATATTACAACATTCGTTGAATCCTAATGGTATTGGCTATTGCTAACATATTTATTACTCCATTCGCTCACGTTTAGATGTCCACGTTCCGTCAATCGTTTAGCCAAATTGTCGAAGAAAGCCCCAAACGATGAACCTACATAGTTTATCAAGTGCATGGGGTGATGATACTCAGAAGCATAAGGATGGACAATGTTCAAATATCAGTGAGCTCACCAAACAAATTTATTTACATGTACTATGTACGAGTGAGCTTTCCTAATGACCCTAAGCAATACAGTGATGAACCCTGCGCTAGTACGTACCTAGATAAGCAGAGCCGCGTTTCACTATCTAACTCTTCTTCATCGGCCAATCAGCCGCCATGGGTCTTTTTTTTCATAACGTGTTTTTGCATCCGTGAGACGACGTCGACGAGGTTACGCTGATGGCGTTTAAGACCGTAATGCCTACAACTACCCATCTAAGGGCTGTCTAGGACGCCTGAGACATCGTTAGGTCCTCTTTTGGTCGTTGAGGCTGCTAAATATATCGAATTGCTCCTCTTTAGCTGGTCTATAATTATTGTATTTAGATTCGGGCGTAGACGAATAGATCGACAACCGTATGTCAGGGTCCAGTTGTAGTAGCGCATTGATGCAGTAGATCTACACATATAGCTAGCATTAACTACTGCCTAGTACTTACTAGAGTGTTGATCCTTCTTCATCAGCTTCTTTTTGCTGTCGTCCGACCCTCTCATAGTAGATAGTTCATTGCCTGGCTCTGTTGACGTAGTTACTAACGCTTCTACTAAAGCGATTCGTGCTTCGATGAATAGGTAGCGTACATGTAGAGGTTTCCTCTGAAGCTACTTCTCCTGACCGACTGGCAGCTCGGCTGTATACAGCCACATATCGCGTATTTAAGCTGCAGCACCAGCTGTTAACTCTTAGGGAATACCTGTCCTACGGGAAGAAGCTCGGCGGAACGCTAGATTCTGTTCAAAACATGCGTTACTGGGTTGATAGATCCGTCCATTTGCCTTATTTCCTCCGATACGATCGCTGTGACGGCGGCACTCATTCAACAGAACGTTCAGCGCTCGACGGCGCTGCCGACTAGTCGAGGTTAGCGGAGAAACAACGACGCCGGCGTCGGATAACGTAGATCTAATGAAAAGAACCGTAGAAAGGTTCATTGATTCTGCTAGCTCGCACCCACAGTGTAGAGGTATTATCCAGTTGTCATTTATCCTTCGACTACCATCGCGTCAAGTTCTCTGCTTGGAAATGTTTTAAGTTCTGTGGATACCGGAACTGCAGTTTAACGATATTACATCAAAAGGCTGGCTCTGTAGCATGAAGAGCATTGTGTATCTAATATACGCCTTACGCGTGTTCCCAAGCTTCGTAGGCAGACAGATGACTATTGAGCTTCACCAAAAATGACCCGTTTTTGTGGCAATATCGTGGATTGGACGTACATGAAAAGATTAGATCTTTCCCCTTCATTTTTTGGAATTCGGCCCTTCGTATTGAGCTTTTCCTATTATTTCGAGACAACATCGCTGCCCCGCACGCCGTCGCAGGACGTTTGCGTTTAAGCTAGGCGTAGCGGCTCAGAGTCCCACCGGAGGCTCTACTAGGTATTTACAATGATTATTTTTTCTTTTGCTACTGCTGTTATTATAGCAATGACTATGAAAACAGCTGGGTCCTCTTTTTTCGATGAATCCTGCGTTGTTCACTGTAGTGTATATTTTAGTATAACTTTCACAGAGAAGCTTTATTATCAGAAATCCGAGAGCCCTCCGCTTCGGTTTTTTTAGTTTTTGGCCAAAACTTCCCATTTGTATACTATATCTTCTAATAATATATAATGTAGTTATATTTTTATTGATGAATATAAGACGGTGAGCCTTTAGCCGTTCACGCTTTG